CACTGAGGTCGAACATAAAAATTCCTTCATGGACATTAATTTACCCCTTTCTTAAAGGTGAAGGCAGTCATGAGAGGGTTTTTCAATATTGTTTAGTATATGAAGTAAGATCCACGTAAATCGACCGCAATAACGACCAATTCATCCAAACTATTGTGTTATCTCATATTCAAATAGATTGTGGAGGCCACTTCTCTAATGCTTCCAAAAATGGCCTTTCTAGATTTCGTTATAGACTTTTTCATAAGGGATGATGAGGAAGCACACTTTCAGAGTTCCCTTGTTCTTACCTTCTTCAAAAAAGATTGGTGGGTCTATGGTTCCACATGGACGAGTCCAGAAGTCATTGAATGCCAAAAGGTTCCCATCTTTGAACGAATTCAAATCTTTTATGTACAATCTTAGTATCTTTAAAACTTTGAGGTACATCAGGCCGCATGAGTTTCTGCCACTGATGAAAATCCCTGATGCTAAGTACTTGTATATGGCATTTACAACAAATGGAAGCGTAGTGTTAGTGATTCCATCCACCTTTTATGGTCTCGAAACTCTAATATAGATTTATATTCTTCTTGTCTTTCAAGTGTTCGTGAAGATTTGAGTGAGCTTCGTGGTGTAGTCCTTTTCTTTCTAGAATATCTAGTACCAATTGAGTCAATGATAAAGGTAAGGGACGATTTGGATGCTGAAGAAGCTACGACATTTTTGTCGGCTGAATCAAAAGTCATCTTCTCCACTAAAGTGTAATCATTGGTGTGATTTGTGAATTTGGATTAGGAGGAATCTGACTGTGAAAGTTCACATGAATTAGAATTCGTTTTTCGTAGAAGGCGTCTATGTTCTGCTAGGGAACCATAAATGCTTGGTGAAATGATGGAGTAGAGTTTTGATATTGTGGAGCAGATTTTTGGTGCAACAATACAAAGGTGAATCTGCATGGTTAGCACTTGAGCAATAAACTCACTAAGAGAATGAAAAGTAGTGGGATTCATGATTTAGAGGGTACCTCGGATTTCACGTGAGATTCCTTGGTAGTTATGGACATCCCCTGTCACTTTGGTATAGAATGGGGGGAGGTCGTCCGACGACATCTAATTATAGCCAACAATCTAATGCACAAATTCAATGTAGAACTCTAGAACAAGGTCATATTGTACCTTCATTTGTGATCGAATCATAACAAAACAATTATTTTAATGTAAGTCCAAAACTATTTTACCATAAAGATAAAGGGAATTTCTTTTCCCACCTCAATACCTTCTCACAAGTCCTCGGTAAAAACCCAAAAATATTCCTAGAGTTCAGAGATGCATCTCCAAACACACATATTTCCCATTAAATCAAATGCAAACAAGTGAGCCACCCATATTACACTTAATTTAAGTCCGGAGTTGCATCTCTGAAAGTGTATTTGGAATAATTCAGAGTTGCATATCCGAAAATGGCCATGGTACGTCAAACTATAAACAGATACAATATGAGCAAGATCTAGAAACAAAAACAACTTGACATTAAATTAAAACACTCAATATTAAATAGATAGTTGTTAACATAAATTTAACATTACATATGGTTATAAACGGATAGTTCAGAACATTGCAACAAATTGATAATATCGTCGACGGATCTTGCAACCTTCGCATCCACTTCAATCAAACCCTTTGATGCGTAAGATAAAATCTACTCCACATGACCTCTAAATCTTCACCCGTCTTCAGTTCAAAGTTGGTGAAATGTATCTTCCCTTTGTTGTGAAATAAGGGTGAACGATACTCGAGCTTGACAACTCTCTAATTTTATGGATATCGCATAAGAGTATTCAATTTAGATATCAGATCAGTGAGATGTGTGTCATCGGTGACCCTAAATTGAAATGGCGGCTTTGCGCCATTGAAATACACAAATGTAAGGTGGGACATGCATTCAATATTTGATTGTGGTGTATTTTGTAGAAAATATGGGATGAGAGACACCCTATTTATACAAGTTTTGGGTCACTTTGGACCTTAGAAATGTTATTCTATCAATAAGAGATTTTCACAGATGCATCTTTGGATAAACCCTACTTTTTTACAAAAAAATGGTGTTTACGGATATGCATATCCGTAAACTACCATGTTGTATTTTTTTTAATTTAGTGGAATGTATTCAGATATGCATATTTGAAATCACCCTAAACCAAAATCACACCAAAAACTCTGTAAACAAAAATATAATATGTAAACCATAAAATTTGCAAACTGAAATAGTCGACATTTACACTATCATTGCTAAATATATATTACTTGTGTTTTAAATTGTATCAATATTACATCATTGACGATAATACATTAAAAAGTGTATGGATTACAATCTAAAATGTATTAAAAGATGCATCACCGCATAAATCTACTACTCGTTCCTCCTTTGACTTTTTCTTATTTGATTCTCTTTCAAACTCGCTCAATTTGGTGAACTCTTCCATCCTTTCCAGAAATTGATTCAGCCAAGTTTCCACCTTTTTGGGGAATGTATCGTCCACTCCAATGATGTATTTGGTGTAGGACACCCTGGTTTCAAAAAAACCTCAACAAATGTAGCGTTTTTTAAAGTCACTCAATACACTGTTTACTGGAAAATTTGTTAAACAAAAATAAGTTTTAATTAATACTTAAGGGATTAAAATCGAAAAGATCTTGAGACATATTTGTGTGAATCGCGAGTTTTAAGCAATTTTGATATCAAAATCGAAATGAAAAGTTTTGAGAATAATGGCTAAAATCAAACTGGAATCGAAATGCAAAGAAGAATTAAGAGTGACTGAAAACTAAATTCAAATGCAGTAAATGATTTGAACATAAACATTTTAATTTATAAAAGTGGAACGCGTACGTACATTGTTGACTCTTTTCTTACAACACACAAATACTTTAAGTTTTTGTCGAATTTGTGTACAATTACGGACCCCTAAAACATAAGTGAAGTACTACTTATATACTAATCCTAAAATAACCGTCTACAACGATCGACTAAGCACAATATGTCACGTCTTTATCTCCATGCAGCCTTCAACTTCGACCGACTTCCACGCGTCCTTAAATAATGGTCTAATCTTATCCAATTACACTTCTTCGACTGCGTAGAGTAAACATCTTTGGGCACTTTAAATTTCACTAAATCTCAAAACTAACAAACCTCCTAGTCTCTTACTCATTGCAATATCGACCAGAGTTAACATTACCTTCGACAAAATTAAAACTGTCGAAAACTTCATGGTCATAACATACCACTTCGACTTTTCAACAAAATGCTTATTGCATGATCCTTATCTCATTCCTGTCATTAATGTTTGCATTGAAAATTTGAGATAACATATACATGATGCATCCGGATGGATCTTGAGGCGGGTCACTCCGAAGTGGAAAAAATGTCTCTGATAAACCATATGGAAGTGATATAGAGTGCAGGAGAGATGATCATGTAAAATGGTGATATATTCAATTTTGCACTTGATATTTTTGAAGATGTATTTACGAAAATATCACTGAATAGTTAAATAAATCAACTCAACAAAAAATATAAAATAAATGGAATTCAAAGTTATTTTTGAAGATGTAATGGATCTGCCTCCACCACTGGCAAAGGTCAATCCAATTTCTACAATAAATAGATGGATAGGTAGAGTTATTCTAGATTGAATGTTTGTCGTACAAAAATGTGTAAATGAGATTTCAATCAAGGGAGAATGACTAAGCAATCGCTTGTTCGTATTAGTGCACATAAAATCATTGACATAACTCATGAGGCTAATATTCTGTCTGTTCTTTTTTAAGTGTCATTTTTTAATTTTTTTTACATATATCAAAAAAATTAATTAATATTGTTACTTTTCATACAATAATTATCCTTTTACCTATTATATCCTTAATTATTTATTACGTTTATTTTATTTTTTCTCTCTATATAATAATTATCTATGAGTAATTTTGACAAAAATGTATTTAATACTACAAAGTAACAATTAAAGAAAACAAAAAATTATTTCAAAAATGACATTTATAATTACTAATACAAATCAACTACCAACAATACAAGAAACTTCCTAATACAAATCAACTACCAACAATACAAGAAACTTCCTAATACAAATCAACTACCAACAATACAAGAAACTTCCGCCATAGACTTCAAATACCACTTCACCATAGTAGAAACTATTCTGCCAAAACCTCACAAGTCACTCTTAAAAGCAACATTTGAGTGTAGCTTCATCCAATCGTCCTCATAAACATGTATACTAGTCTATTAATATTAATGTACATACAAGATTATTTTATAAGAACCTCCCATTTGTATATTTTATATCCACACAATCATTCAATTAGCCTCCTCTACCACAATAGTCCTTGTCTAAGGTCAAAAACATTAAAATCCAGACAAATTTATGCAAAAAGCCATATTAAGCCAACCAATTTCCACGCCATCTTTTCTTCATCACACATATCACAAGCCTTGACTGTGCTCTGTGGGTCCTACTTCCCTTTCATTTCATCTATTCATCTATTAACAACAGTAAAGAGTAAATAAATATGCCTTTCTTCGATTTGTTTGTAAGACCAACTCCAATGGGAGTTCTTAAGGTGAGTTTGCCAACATGGCACCCATATTTGTTGTTTTCAAGATTGCCTTGTTGTTGAACGGTTCTTAATTAAGCAACGGTTCTTCAACGGTTCTTATATTAAAATATTAATTTTATAATCTAAAAGCTATAATTTAATATAAAATTTTATTTATTATTTTAATTATCATATGAAAATTATAATTACAATATTAAAATATTAATTTTATAATATAAAAACTATATTTTAATTATAAGTTGTGGGACCCAACATGAGTTCTTCATAGTTGCACCATTGAAGTGAAAATTTAGTTGAGTTGCTTTAAGCTGACGTGGTTTAATTGATCCCACAAAGAACCCAAAAATGAGTTCATGGTTGGAGATGCTCTAAGCTAAAATTAACTCATCTAGCACCAATTTTAACCAAGACTTCCCACAGCCGTTGGATCTCTCCGAATACATCATCCGACGGTAACCGAAACCTGCAACAAGGACACGTGTTCCTCTTTCCCAGCCACGGCAAAATACACATCCAATGAAACAGATGCTGACATGGCAACTCACACACGTCTCTCCCCACTCGCATCTCATCTTTACATATCACACACTCTCTCCCGCCAACACTCACTCCTACCGCCGGCAAAGAAACCACCGTCGCCGCCGAAGCCGCCACTTCCTTCACTCCCTTTCCACTTTCACCACCACCGTCGCAGGCTAAAACATCCACCAATCTCCAACACCGACTCACTGTTTCGATAAACGGAATCAAAACAGATCCCAAACACGCCCCGAGCGGCGGCGCTGAAGAGTAAGAAAACGTCAACAATGTATCGCAGAAGAGTTTGCTCAGATTCAATCTCCAATCAGAACACGGTGCGTTTAGAGCGTCCGGATTGTGTTTATGCGTTTCGCATAATAAGAGAAGTAGCAAGACCGCGTCGATTTCACGGTCTCTCATGGAGGTTGAGGCAGGAGGTGGAAGAGGTGACGTGGAGAGTTTGGATTGGGTGAGAAGGTGGAGAGACGAAAGGAGATATCGTGAAATGAGTAAAGTTTTTTGGGGGAGAGAGAGTGTGTGAAGGTGACGAAGTGTTAAGGAAAAGAGAGTTGGGGAAGAGAGGAGGAAAGTGAGACGGTGGTGGTAGCGGCGGATGGATGAGAGAATGGTGTTAGTGAGAATTGTGAGGTGGTGAGAAGGGAGAGATGAAAGTGCTGCCATGATGGTTGATGTTGTTTCTTCCATAGCCATTGAATAATTGATTTGGAGTTTGGGTTTGTGTCGACAGTGTGAAGGTGTTGTGTGTGAAGGGTGATGATGAATGAGGCCTTTTATGTATGTGTACCACATGTGTTTTTAACTCATTACTGTCATCATCAGAATAATATACTGCTACTACGTTTTTGTATGATCCAATGTGTCCTTGATCTCTGTTCCTTCAATCTTCACTTTTACTACTAGTCTACTTCTAGTCATAGTACAAGTTGGTTACTTTATATAAACATTTAAGGAAGTCGGTTTTATTAAGAAAATCCATTATAAACTTAATATATATATATATATATATATATATATATATATATATATATATATATATATATATATATATATATATATATAGATATATATATATATATATATATATATATATATATATATATATATAGATATATATATATATATATATATATATATATATATATATATATATATATATATATATATATATATATATATATATATATATATATATATATTTTGATCTTTTTACAAAATTATTCATATATTAATGTGTATAACCTTAATTTTTAATATTTTAAAATATCAATTAAAGGGCTTTTCAATAATATATATATATATATATATATATATATATATATATATATATATATATATATATATATATATATATATATATATATATATATATATATATATATATATATATATATATATATATATATATATATATATATATATATATATATATATATATATATATATATAGGGAAGAGATGTTAGATCAAATGGTTCTGACAATAAGAATTATTGTTTTAGGAGAGATTATAATTTTTAAGAATAGATGTCAAACACGATGTCTGAGACATTGTGAATCAGAAACAAAATTAATTTCCAAGCAAGATATGACATATTATATTATTCAAGATAATGAAGAAAAAAGTAGTAAAGAACACAAGAGATTGGTAACTCAGTTCAGTGAAATCACACCTACGTCTGGGGGACACTCTACCCAAGAAAGGAAATTCACTATTTCGAATTAGTACATTTAGTCTTACAAGAACCAACAAACTCTTTGATGTTCAAAGTCTCTTTCTAATCATAGTGCCTTTGTATTTAAGGACTTCCCCTAAATATGAGAACCTACTCACTTTCTTCTCAATCACATAATCTGTGATTGGTGTTTACAACTCAATGAACAATGTTGAATATTACAATTCAGCTAAGACAAACCAATTATGCCAAGTTTCTGAAGCATGGTGGTGTACACAAAGATTCAACCCTAATATGGTTATGGCATTAGCTTGGAATACAAGAAACACCATGTTCTCAAGTGTTGCATCCATTTTGCCCTAAGATTAGTCGATTCATCTCGCATTCCATTGCATTTAACCAGTCACTAATAGGTTTGTGTAGTCTGTTGATTTTGCAGGAAAAATCACGTTGCGCGCTCTTTAGCTTGGTGAAGGGTAAAATGGTCATTTATTCGCAGTCGGTTGCCAATTTGTGAATATGAGTTATAGTCATGGAATTTGAGCCATTTGAGTTCATTGATGAGAATTGAGGCCGAGAGTGTGGATCGGAAGAGTTTAATCATGGAGGATAGTCGGAAAGATATGTCCACTTGAGGAATCGACGGGTTGGATTTATTCTGATAAAACTTCATTTAAATTATTGAAAAGATTAGTCGGGGGTGGTATCGGAGACAGAGATTAATCGGATGGTGTGGGTTGTCATTTCATTTTTCATAAAAAATTTAATTCTTTTTGTTTCATTTCATTTTAATAAATTTAATTCCTTTTGTGTCATTTCATTATTAAAAAAATTTTGTTTCATTTCATTATTAAAAAAAAAAGAATTTTGTTTCATTTCATTTTTAATAAAATTAACTATTATTGTTGTTTCATGTCATTATTAATAAAAAAAATTGTTTCATTTCATTTTAATAAAAATGATTTTTTTTTTTGTTTATTTTGTTTTGTTATGATTATTTTATTTTAATATCAGTTTGTTATGTTATTTTAATATTAAAAAAATTATTATTATGATTATTTCATTTTAATATAAAAAAAAAACTGCTAGGTTTATTTCATGTTAATATTAAAAATTTGTTATTATGATTATTTCATTTTAACATAATTTTTTTTATGTTTTTTTGCATTTTAATTTTATTTTAGTTATTTAAATTCTATTTAGTTATAACTAATATTAATTTAAGTTGGACTTTAAAATGGGCATTAGGTTAGAGTTAACCCTAATTTGATACCTATATAAACATAAGTTGTAAATGAAAAAAGAGGAGACAAAAAGAAAAAAAAAAACGGCGGTCGTTCTCACGACTTATCAGAAGAGGGGAGATTTTTGAAAAAACCTTCAAAGTTTCATCATCAAGATCAACGAACCGCCACCACCGCCTCAGAAGATAGCTTCATCACCGGCCAGAGTCACCACCACGAACAAAATCCATCGTCCAAACGGACGGGAAATAGTCAAACCGGAACCGAAAATCATAGAGAAAAAGGTAAGCCACTCTAACAATGTTTTTTTCTTTTCAGATGAACAGAAGAATTAGAAAGAGGAAGAAGAAGACATGCAAGCGAAAGATGAGGAGAAAAGCTCTGAACCATGTGTCGCTACCGCGAAAATAAGGTGTCGGCAAAACAAAAGAGTCACCACCTTTCATTATTTATCCCTCAGAACGGGAAAGGAAACGATCGGAAAAAACCTGACGAAAAAGGCATAAGACAAAGGTCATCGCAACCATGTCTGGGTTCAGGAGTCGGTTACGCAAGGGGAAGGTATTAGCACCCCTCAAGTCCATCGTACTCGATGGGATCCACGCTTGTTGGTTTGTCTACAGGTGAAAAACAATCTAGCTACGGCTTCTAAATCTAAACGGAAAGAACTGACTCGATAGAGCATCGCACTCTATGCCTACGTATTCCCTCGTGCAATGGGAAAGTCAGAGTCAACGTAGTTCGGGAAACTACGGGGGAGGGTTGCTCACCGAGATATCGCATCTCGTGCCTACGTACTTTCACACGGCGCGAAAGATCAGAGCAAACATAGTTCGGGTAACTACGGGTTACAGGGTGTTCTCGATCACACAGGGGTGAGAGAAAGGATTGACGATACTAGCGTGCGTATTCTAGCAGTTAGGTGTATGATGCTCGCTCGTCGGAGACTTAGGCGTTACCTGTTTGCGGTAGAACGGACGTAGTATGTCGGGTTTAAAGGTATGGGAACCTACGGGAACTAGAACTACGGTCTGGTCTCAATTGCGCTAGGGCAAGAGAAAGGGAACATCAGCCGTCAGCGGGAAAGTCTCGATCGCACGGCAGCGAGAGAACAGAAGAGTTAGTTGTTAGTGTGCTCGCTAGGATATCGCATCCTATGCCTACATATTCTCGTCTGGCACGAGAAATCAGAGCAGCTGTAGTTCAGCTAACTACAGGAAAGGGGAAAAGGGAGCTTGCTAGGATCATCGCAATCCTATGCCTACGTACTCTCGTCTGGTATGAGAGATCAGAGCAAACATAGTTCGGCGCACTATGGAAAACGAGTCTCGATTGCACAGGGGCAAAAGAAGGGGTCTCGATCGCCTGAATGCGAGAGAAAAGGGTTTCGATCGCGCGGGGGCGAGAACAAAGAGGAAGCAGGCCTAACACGCCTAAACGGGAAGGAACTCGGGACACACACGCAAGGACCAAAGACGTAGGAGCGAGTGCGTCGTATATCACCCAAAGGGTGCTATACTAGACACTCTAGACGATTGAGAGGAGACCGCTCAATTGTCATTTCCTACGTATCTAACGCTATAGATCACAACACTCGACGGTTGTACGAAGACTTGAATGAGAAAGATGTTATCGAACGAAGCGGCTCCATTGGCCCTCGACATTGTGCACAAGCTCCATTCCAATCTTCTCCTCTCTGGATCCTTGATGACGACGTTTCGAATCAGAAACAATGTACCGCTAAACCGTCACAATTTGACTTGTACGATAAATCAAACTCTAAGATGTAGCGTATCGATATCCGTGTCAAAGACAAGATAGAGAAATGATATTGAAAATCATTCTCCAATTGAATCATGTCACACGGCCAACACAGAATAAGATCAAAGTAAAATCAGATAAGAAATGAGAAAGGAGGAGAGAAATCCAATAACAAATGGAAATAAAATTCTACTCCTAAAAATGCGATAAATTCCTAATAGGAAACTCTACAGAAATTCTAAGGAAATTGCATATAGAAAATAGAATAAAAATCCTATATAATTTTCTATAATAAAAGGAAATGCTAATAGAATATAAATTCTAGAATATAAAATCTATACTAAAAAATAGTGCATAATATCCTAAACTATAATTCCTAAGGAGAAAAAATAGTGCTTAACAAAATAGAATATAAAATCTATGCTAAAAATATATAATAATATTCTAAAGGAAAAATAAAATTATAATTCCTAAAAGAAAAATAGAAAATAAAACTAGCATCTATTACAAACGAATATCCAATACAAAAAACAAAAATAAAAGGGAAGGGGGTACATCAGCCAAACATGGGGTACAACCTGAAAAAAAACACAATTGGGCTTGAGCCCACAATACAATAGCAAAAAAAACAACTCAAGGGAACGGGGGGTGCGTTTGATAGACACAGAGTGTGCGTGAGTCCAGAAAACGTTGGGCCCAGCCCATCAAAAAGAGTCTAACAGCCAAAAAACAAGAAAACAAGGGACGGGGGTGTAGTGGTGAAACGCATGGTGTGAGTCCAAAACTGCAACAATTGGGCCCAAGGCCCAACATCCCAATCCAATACACGAACCTTTCCACCTTCCAACTCCAATCAAAAACCCTAGAACGTCATAGCTCCTCTCCACCGCCGTCACCCTCCCCCCCCCCCCCCCCCCAACCTCACCGTCTCCTTCCCACTTCTTTCAACCTTCTGCGTTCACCTTGTCCTATCAAATCAAACAAAACGAAACCGTAGAACTTGATATCAAACAA